CTTACTGTATTGATAGTTATTTTTTAGTAGAAGCTAAAATCAAAGAATTATAAAGGCCAATTCATTTTGATACGTAAGATCCGTTATCATCACTCCCTAAAGCTTCATCACGACCCAATAACGAACCCACAGCCAGCCCCTAATCCTAAGGCGTACAGAAAAGGAACACATGATGAAATCTGTCAGGGCTACCCCCACAGGCATTAGCCAAGATCAATTCAGTCGTCAGGATCACATTCGAGAGGTAAAGAAGGAGGAATAGCCAATGAAACAAGAAAATTACGGATCGGTGCCAGCGAGCATATCTCGGTAGTCCTACAATTAAAAAACCCCCCCAAAAATCCGTCTTGGATGGAAGGGAACGAACACTGACATAAGGCAGGCTAACTATGAAACAGAGCCATAACAACTAAGGAATAAGGTCTAACGGCTAACAGCTGAGAAATAAGAGGGGTTACCTATACCCGCTGCTCAAAGGAGTGAGTCAAATGAGGAAGCTAAACAAAACTAGACCAAAGAGGTTATAGAAGAAAAAGAACAGGCAGATTAAGGCGTTAAAGCAAATAAAGCAACCGTAAGGAAACAAGCCAAGAAGTAGAACAACCGAATCAGCACCAAGACATTAAGCCGAAGAATTATGACAGCCACTAATAGGAGGCGAGAAAAGAAGAGAACGAACCACAAGACGAAGCCTAGCACGCAAGGTAGGGACAATGAAGCTTCCCACTTGTATAATAAATGGTGACGCGTAAATATTAGGGGAGGAAGGGTAAATTCGCGGCAGGAAAAACGCAGTAGAGAAAAGTCAGCGTAACAACTACAGAATACATCCTAGGGATGAACCATGACAAGTAAATAATACAGGGACAACTCTAAACTGTCAATCAGAAGCCTTAAAACATCCCCAATAGGACGAAAGTCAAGCGGACTAAGAACTCTCATCACCAACAAAAACTCTGAGAGAATAAAGCCAGACAACAAGTCCCTAAATTCTAACTGCGAGAAACTACAACCTGCTCCCTGATCCCTAAACGCTAAATGAAGAAAACTACTCCATAAAGGGTAAAGCAGATACCGAGATCACTAGGAAATAGGAACTAATAAGTAACGTCTGGGCAAAATCAAGCCCCAAAACCCCAGCTCACTGATCAATAGACAAACATCATAAAGGACCTCCGCCTAAAGAAGACAAATAGGAACCGGACACTAACTCAGAAAAATGTCACAACAACCCCCCTCCTAATCCCTCAATCCAGAGCAACTCCCGACTGAGCAACAGCGGATAAAAACCAAAGCTGCAAATCAAGACGAGTGACCAATAACGAGCAAGGAATAATCAATAGAAGACCAGAACAGCCCCTTAACAAAAAGTCTATAAAATCTCCATCACTAACAGGATCACTCTAACCCCTGGAAAGGAACTGATACATGTAGCCCCAGAATCTAGATGCTTGAAATCCCAAGGATAAAGATTAACGCCCAAGAAACAAAAAAGAACCAGCCCTTCCGGAGTGAGATCCAAAAAAATAAACTTTAGACAAGGCAACAAATAGGACCAAACAATCAATTCCCAAAGCCAACTACTAACACTAGCAGGAGCCCATCTCCCTCAAAATAACAACAAGATCGAGCAAGAACCAGTTGAGGTGAAAATTAAAAACTGATCACTGAACATAACCAAAAAAATCGTCAAAGGTAAAGACTAAACAACAAGGCAAGGGATAAGGAAGGACCAAAAACACCACGCACCATAGGCCCTACCCCCTAACAGCTGAAACATCGAATGTGAATCTTAAAACATGAGTCAACAAGCCCTGCAACCTCCTCCGTAATCGGTGAAAGGTCAACAATCCAAAGGAGGCGTACCAAGAACGCCCTAAAAACTGAGAACCTGAACATTCATAACACCCCGCGACAAAATAGATTCCAGAAACTAAAAAATGAACCCTGGAGCCTGAAACCTAAACTTGAGACCTAAGCCGTGAGATCTAGACACTAACCCATAAGACTAGGGACGGAATCCTGAACATAAACACTGAAACCTGATCCCTGAAGATTAACCCCAACCCCTCAAGCCCAAGAACTAAAACCCTGAGTCACTAGAGGCTGAAACACAACCCCCTAAACCCCTGACCCCTAAACCCTAAATACAAAACCATAGATCCTAAACCCCTAAAGCCTGAACCATAAAAATAACCCCTGAACCATGAAACATGATTCCTAAACGCTCAAGCCTAACCCCTAACCACTCCCACCTGACCACTGAACCATAAGCCCTGAACCATGACCCTAAACCTAAGCCCTGAAAACTAGAGCCTAAAGCCTAAACCCTGACCCCTAACCCTAAACCATAAACCCTGAACCGTAAACCCTAAACCCTGAACCCTGAACCCTGAACCCTGAACCCTAAACCCTGGACCCTGACCCCTAAACCCTGAACCCTAAACCCTGAGCCCAGAACCCTAAACCCTAAACCAAGGGCATTAATCCCTAGACCCTGAACCCTGAACCCTAAACCATAACCCCTGAACCCTAAGCCTAAACCCTAAATCCTAAAACCTAAACCCTGAACCCTAAACTCTAAACCCTAGACACTAAACCTAGACCCTGACCCCTAAACCCCCCATGTGCAATGTCCAACATTCGCCCGGAAACCCTAAACCCGAAATCT